TTTTTTAGGGACATAAAAAATCCAAGAAAAAAGTTAAAGAAATTAAAAAAAAACGTCATGACAATCAGTTAGAGTTTACTGATATTATGTGGTTGGTAAATTCATCAGAAAAAATTGAGTCTTCTGTTGCTGATGAGTATAATGAGGTTTTTAGTGAAAAAGAATTAGAACGGAAAGATGTTAAACACAAAAAGTCAAAAAACGAAGATAAATATAAGAAAATAAACGAGGATTCGAAGCATCGAAAATTAAAGAAACCTAAAAGTAAAAAAGAATCTTCAAAAAAATCTTCAGATTATGAAGAAACAGCTGGAATCTCAACACCGTCTAAAGAAATATTACCATATTCTGAAAATAGTATAAGTTTGGTGCAACCCCTTACTTCATATGAAGGATTAGCTAAAAATAAAATGCTTTCTATGATGTATGAATTAAAACATGTACCACATCAATCAAATAAACTAATTGCCTCAATTCTCATTACAAATAATAGTCAATTTCTTATACAGGACTTAATGTTTGACGTTCCAGATACATCGTCACACAGATTAATGAGAAACGTAAGTCAGTATACATAAAAAAAAAAAAAAAATTAAAGAAAGATTAAAGTGAAAAAATAGTTTTAACATTATTTGTTTCACAGACTGAAGACAAATTGGGCGTGAAACTACCATTCGAACTGCCTCCAAAAACCAGTAAAGAAACACAGTTTACTATAATAATCTCAAATGTAACATTTGCCCAAAAGTTAAGAGGCACGCTTACATATACAGTAGGAACCAAAACAGCTGGATTTTATGATAAACTTGAGTTTACTATGTATTTGGCGTGCAGTAAGTTTATGGTCGGTCATCTCCCTCATAAACATATATTAACAGAGTTACTTATAAGTGGTCATCTTGTATACAAAGTCAAAAAAGAAATTGTTCTCTCTCAAGATTTTGATGCAACTTTAAATTTAATTTGCTACAAGTGTAATCTTACTCTTGTGGAACGAATAAACGATACTGCATCTTTGTATGGACGCAATTTAAAGGGACATCATGTGTATCTTTTATTAAAATGTAACGTAAGTAAAAATGTATTTTGATTTTTATCACTTTAACGTTAACGAACAAAATTAACGTTAATTTTAAAAATAAGTTAAAATTATGAAAAACTTTTTTTTGTAGAAGGCATCAAGTAATTTGGTTATTGAAGGTAAAGGTAACAATAACACGTTGTTGTCGGGAATTGCAGAAGAAATTTTGAGGATCCTAACATAATATTGATATAAAGCAGTGTCCGTATTTTATGAGTCCTATCCTCATGCATTGCGGTTATGTTCATTGTATAACTCAACAGCAAAACGAACATTTGATAGCGTTTATTATACATAAAATAGCAGTTATAGAAAATGCATCTGTACACTTATCGTATATTTTCAAAAACGAAATCTTATCTAAACTTTACATTTAATTTAGGTACACAAATTTTTAACATATGCATGTAAGAATAAGTATGTATATGTATAAATAAACACACATATAAATATATATATGTGTGTGTATAAAGTAACGTTTTAACAAAAGAGAAGGGAGATTTATCATCAGGAATTGAAGATATCAGAATGAAAGTATATGTTATATTTTATTCATATGCAATTTCAGTTCATAAATTAAAGTGCAATAATAGAGGATAAAATATTTACTTTAATCAACTTCATGATATTTAAATAAAAAATTTGTCTATGTAACTTGGGATATGTAAATATTACTTTCCAATTTTTGAGGCAATTGTAATAAAATAATTTTTTTCAAGATTAATTAAATTATGTTTCATATTGATATAAAAGAATACATTTGTATAATTGATAACATTAAAATATTAAACTATTTTGTTAAAGAAAAAAAAAGCATAATAAAACTATTATATGAGATATTACTTGTAAAAGTATTCATTCGTAAAATAATCTAAGATATTGTAATACATTACAAATACCGTACATTAAAAATTAACTACTTTATACACTGATATCTTCGATTTTTGTATTATTGTGTTATTAGACATAATTACACTGTTGAACTCCTTATGAAATTGTAAAGTACATCACGGATACTCGCGACTCTTGTGCATGTACGTCGATGTTTCTCAGCGGAATGTATATTTTCTGCATGTAATGACTTTGTAATATCATTAATTTAATACATATAAGGATTTATGATAAGCATATAAATACGCAATACAATAACACATGAAACACCAAATGTAAATAGCTAATACTTATGTGGGATTGGGGCCTCCATACCTCAAATCTATAGGAACAACAGCAAGGAAATACCGAGAAGGCGCATTGGCTGGATGTTGCTGCGGTAGTGAAGACTTGACCTTGGAATATTGGCGGTGTTTTCACATTGTTGACATCATGCCTTATAACACCCATTAATATCATTTGGGCAGACATGTCTTCTATTTGATTTTTTAATCTTGACTTTTCCCGAATCATTGCGACGTAATCATCCGAATCAGCTTGGAATGGTTTCAATTTAGCTGAGATGTTACCTAGTTTTTCTTTGTTAGATCGGTGGGATCGATATCGGCTGCTGTTTGGGGCTGTGTGTGTGTGTGTGTGTGTGTGAATCCCTGCTATTTTTCTGTCAGGTTATGGGCCCAGGATGCCAGTGGAGTGCGTGAATAATTGTGAAAATTAAAAGGTGAAAAAAAAAACGGTATGGCGTCCGTAAGCAACCTCGCGAACCTTGAGAAATTAACGGAAGACAACTACGAGTTGTGGAAGGTTCATGTGAAAAGTTTTCTCGTGATTAACGACTTGTGGTCGTATGTAGATGGTACACAGGTAAAACCAGAAATAAATGCCGAAGAATGGATAAAGAAAGATGCGAAGGCTTTAGCACTTATTAATTTAAGCGTCTCGCAAAGTCAATTAAATCACATAAAGAAGACTAACACGGCAAAAGAGGCCTGGGATAAACTCCAAGGGATATTTGAATCGAAAGGGCCAGTACGAAAAGCTACGTTGTATCGGGAATTATTACGTATGACGAAGCAGCCGGACGCGACGATGACGCAATACGTGAGTGATTTCGAACATAAGGCTGAACAATTGGAGGCTGCAGGAATCAAACTTCCCGATGATCTCCTGTCGATAATGTTGTTAGCTTCATTACCGGCAAAATACGATAACTTTAGCGTCGCCATAGAATCACGTGACGAAGTGCCAACGCTCGAATATCTCAAGACAAAACTCAAGGAAGAGGAAGCGAGACAGAACGAACGGGACGCCAAGGCAGCCGATCGCGAGGAAGATAAAACAGAGGCGTTTGCAACAAAACACGACGGTAACAAGGACAGACAAACGCATACGAATAATAAACAAGCTAAACCGAACAATACGAAGTACAAAGGAAAGTGCTATAATTGTGGCAAACTAGGCCATATAAGCCGGTATTGCAAATCGAAAACAAAGCGGAAAAATTTTGTGGATGCAATGACGGCAATTGCATGTAATACGGAAGTCACAAAGCGTGATATTTGGTGTCTTGACAGTGGTGCTACCAGGCACATGTGCAGCTCGAGAAATAAATTTAGTGTTTTAGAGCGTGATGCATCAACCAATGTATATACTGCGGCAGATCAGTGCGTTAAATCTAGAGGAGAAGGAAAAATCAATCTAAGTGTGAAAGCAAATTTAAAGGACACAAATACAGTAAAGTTAAGTAACGTCATTTATGTGCCGGAACTAAGAAACAATTTACTATCGGTCTCAGCTATTACAGATAAAGGTTATCATGTGAAATTTGGCCCAAAAGGTGCGTGTGTAAAACGAGCAAATGGAACTACGGCGTTAACGGCAACCAAGAAGGGACAGTTGTATTTAGTGAATGAAACAAGTGATCACACGTTGCTTACAAACGATGTAAAAGATAACCTGTTGAGGTGGCATCAACGTTACGGACATTTAAATGTGAATGACTTGAATAAACTAAAATCGCACGAAATGGTTGCAGGCATGAACTTGCGGACGGTTGCATCCGAAATACACTGTGAAATATGTCACAGAGGGAAGATCAGCCAACAACCGTACAAACAATCAACGAGTAGATGCAAGGAGAAACTCAACCTTGTGCACTCCGATATTTGCGGCCCTATGAAGACTGAATCGCTGGGTCGAGCAAAGTATTTCGCTACATTTATAGATGATCATACAAGGTATATGGAAACCGTAATGTTACGTCACAAATCAGATATATCTAACGCCTTTAAGAATTATAAGCGTCGAGTAGAAAAGGAAACCGGTTGCCAAATCAAACGATTACGTACAGACAATGCGAAGGAATATTTGTCTAATGAATTTTCAAAGTTTTTAGAAGAGGAAGGTATAACCCACCAACTAACTGTGGAATATACGCCACAGCAGAATGGGGTAGCGGAACGCGCTAACCGGACCATCGTGGAAATGGCAAGGTGTATCTTAATGCAAGCGAGCCTGCCGGAAACACTGTGGGGCGAGGCCGTAAACGCAGCGACATATATAAGAAATAGATGTCCAACAAAGGTATTGGGAGATTTCACCCCATTGGAAGCATGGTCAAACAGGAAGCCATACGTGGGATTCCTCAGGATAATAGGAAGCAAAGCGATAGCACTAAATAAAAGAAATAAGCGGGGAAAATTTGAGCCAAAAGGTGACGTATACACTTTAGTTGGTTATGATAACGCGTCAAAAGCATACAGACTTTGGAAGCCTCATACAAAAACAGTAATTAAGGCACGAGACGTAAAATTCATTGAAGTTGCAGAACCGAATGAAAAATCAAAGCACAACTCGTATGCCAACCCGCTGGATCTATACGGGTTGCACGCAGACCAAACTAACGAAAAAGACGACAAAGAAGATTTTCCTAACGAGGAAGACACTAAAGAAGAATGTCCCAACGAAGAAGACAATATAGAAGGATGTCTTATCGAAGAAGATGACAAAGAATCTGTGAAGATGAGCGAAGATCCGATAAATAAGTGGCAAACGGTAAAGCGTGGACGTGGAAGACCGAGAATCCAAAGAACAGGTAACGCAGGAAGACCAAGAAAACTCTTCAAGACAATTGCAGGAATGTCTGAAGACCCAGCAGACGTGAATGAAGCGTTGAAGCGAGAGGACTCGGATTACTGACTAGAAGCGATGGAAGTGGAACATGACACACTATTGAGAAACAACACATGGATGTTGGTCCCGAGGCCAAAGGATAAAAATGTTCTCACAAATAAATGGGTATTCAAAACAAAAGACCGTGAGGACGGTCTCGTATTATACAAAGCTAGACTTGTAGCACGCGGTCATACCCAACGAAAGGGAATAGATTATGAGGAGGTGTTTGCTCAGGTTGCCCGGTATGAAACCATAAGGACACTTCTAGCGATGGCTGTAAATGAAGGGATGCACGTCCACCACTCGGACGTCGTATCGGCGTACGTTCAAGATGAGCTAGCTGACTAAACGTACATGGAACAACCTGAATTATTTGTGAAGCGTAGTGATGAAGACAAGGTATGTAAGTTGTTAAAGCCTCTATATGGTCTCAAGCAATCGGGTCGTGAGTGGTATAAGAAATTGGATAAAAGTGTCATAGCACACGGCGCACGACGCACGGAAGCAGATCCATGCGTATACGTATATGAAAGCGAGGAAGAACGTGTGATTATGATTGTTTATGTCGACGATCTACTGCTGGCTTCAAAAAGCATGAAGAAACTGAATGAAGTGAAATCCTCGCTAAAACGAGAATTTGAGATGACGGACATGGGACCTGTTAAGAATATCCTGGGTATAAATATTAAAAGAAATGGAGACATTGGTGCAATCACACTTTCTCAACAAAAATATGTTGAAGAACTAATAAAGAGGTTCAACATGCAAGACGCAAAAGTTGTGTCAACCCCGATAGAATCGAACACAAAAGTTTCAAAAGAAATGAGTCCACAAAATGACGTATTTCGTCGGAGGATTAAATTATCTCGCTAATGCATCCCGACCGGATATCGCTTTTGCGGCATCTACCCTTAGCCGATTTAACTCGAACCCAGGAAAGGCGCATTGGGACTTAGCGAAAAGAGTACTCAGGTATCTGAAAGCTACCTCGAACTATGGAATAAAATATCAAAAGAACAACGAAAAACTCGTAGCGTATTCGGACTCTGACTGGGGAGGCGACGTGGACGATCGTAAATCGTGCACCGGTAACGTGTTAATATTAGCCGGTGGACCAGTCAGCTGGAAGTCGAAGAAGCAGAAGTCAGTATCACTATCAACGATGGAAGCGGAATATGCAGCGTTAGCGGAA